TTTTTTCTCCTCCTTTGCTTCAGGTAATATAGGCATAAAGAGTTTCAGCTGATCAGATCTGACTGATGTAAACTAAATTTCGGTATGACGTACAGTAAATATACCACAGTGGGGCCTTTGAGTCACAGGAAGAAGTTGTTTTTTAACTGGACAGTGTGGTTTATCACGTTTTTACATTTCCTATCTTGATGGTAAAAAGAGAGGAATTATCTTAATAACCTGCAGATACTTTTTTTTTTTTTTTTTTTAATTCTGGAGCAGGAACAGCATGTTTCTAGGAGCACTAAATAGGAAGGATGACCTACTTTAGTTTCAAACCACAGGCAAACTGAACCTATTTTTTCAAACCTCGGTCCAGCAAGCAATCCCATTAAAACGTGGTCTTGAAATCTTAATGCGTCTTTTATACAAAATTGCTGTGCTAGGAAAAGGTGAAGAAAGCTTTCATCAGACACTGGGTAAAGTCCCTCCATATGGGCAAGCAGTCTCTCTCTCTGGGCAAATTCATGAAGTGACAAGGAAAGGCAATGTTGTTTTCCATAGTGTAATGTCTTCAGCTTTTTCTCAATTTATTTTATTATTTTTTCAGTTTCTGTTGAATCAGTTAAACTCTGGAGCAAGAAAGTTTATTACCTTATTCTTCACCATTCTGAGACCTGTAGTGCTGACAATAATACTTGTCCTGGGCAGCTTGAATTCTTCTATCTCTTCTCACCATGAACTCCTCAGGAACTTGCTATACTGAAACAACTATCTACATGTCTGTTGCTGTATTTTCTTTTACCCAATGTCTTGTTAGCAGATGTAAGCATTTTAGAAAAATTCTGAAGTAATGTGATTGCAGCACTGTCTTCAGGGTACCTAAGAAGGTGTCAGTGTGATCTCTGGAAGTTATATGTCTGGAAATTAAAAAAGACTGGTTCTGAGGTCACTGTTAGTGTCTGTGTTGAGGACGGGATTCAGAGCTCTGTATAGCAAAGGGCATTTATAGCCGGATTTCCATTTATAGTTGGATTTCTGCTGCTAGTGTAGGTACATGATGCTACCAAAGCAGATCTGCAGAACAAAAAAGGTTGTTTGCAGTCATTCTGGAGTGAATCTCTTCGCATTACTGCAATACAATGGGAGTTGGGGGAAGTGGTCAGTCTTACTGAAAAACTGCAAACTGCTTAAGTTTTTTGAACCATCTTGAGGACTGTTCTACTGCTGTCACAGTTTTGTTCAAATGTGAATCAGACTTACTCATTTTAGAACACGTTGCTGAAGATATCACCTACCATAGCTGGCTTGTGATCCAATTGTTATAGGTAAAAATTATCAAGCCTAATTAATAATTAATAAATCAGATTTTTATTCAGCGATCAAGATTCGGTCTAAGACAGCCACAATTGAAAGAACAGAGCCGAGCCCGGGATTGGCACTGGGTGAGACATAGGTCCAACCGCTACAGCATAGGGTCTCCTATGTTCACACTGATTGTCCTGTCCCAGCGGTTCTTATACAGTTTATTCTGCCCGAGGCAGAGTTTTCTGCGATCAAGATTTTCTTCCTTTCAGAGTCGTATATTCACATAGTTTCTTTTCTCCAGGTCAAGCTGAACAAAACTGTATCCAAAGCGTGATGTAAGTCCATTGTCGAGTTACTGGAACGTGGCATTGAGATGTATCTTTCCGATGTATTTATGAAGTATTCATCGCTTCGGAGTTCCTCGGATCACCTTGCTATGTTCATTAATTTGTAAATGAGGTCCTCCTCTCTCTTGCCAGCGGTTTTGACATATCTTGAAGCAATCTCCCAACTCTGGCTTGCATGCTTAAAACCTTTTAAGAATATTTCTGACCAACATAACATATTCTATATATATTTCTTTTTATAAGCATGAATTATCCAAAATACACATAACACAATGCAACATGCTGCATTAGTGCATTTACCTATAAATTCTATCAATTTTTTCTACCTCAGAGATACTGTTTGCACCTTCAAACTATGTGCTGCAAGCACAAAATGGTAAGTGCTTGCTGAATCTTGAGAGTTGGAAGAAGTAACACTCACTTTGCCAGTTTTTCATCTGAAACAGGAGAAGAAAACAAATGCAATTGATGCAAAAAGACCCGTCACCATTATCTCCAGGTGTGTTACAAAAAGCATTGCCTTTATACTGTATAATATACTATACTTTTAAAACATTTTAAACATATAATATTGCAATAAACCATGATGCTTAGCCTCCTGGAAATCAATCTAAATTATTGAAAATACTAACTGTATTTTCAGATTTGCGAGAAATGGAATTTGTGATGGAAATCAAGATCTTACTGTTAGAAAGAATGCTATATGTTATAGGTAAAAATTAATCTAGCCAAATTAAAAAAAAAAATTATTTAGTGATCAAATTCTATCTGAGCCAGCTACAAAGAAAAGGACAGTACTGAGACTGGGATCGGTGCTGGGTGAGACACAGGTTTGACCAACACAGCATACCCCTATGTTTCACACTGACCGTCATGTGCAAGCAGATTTTATATGGTTTATTTTGCTCGAGGCCAGGATTTTGGCAATCAGCCTTTTCTTTCCATTCAAAGTCCCACAATTTTATAAAGTTTCTTTCCTCCGTGCTGAGTTGAACAAACAGGAGTCCAGGAAGCAATCCTTGTCCAGGAAGTACATCCTTGATGGAGTTAAAGGGAACTCAGTATTGAGATGTATCTTTTGGTGGTTCCAGAGATCTCAATCTTGGGTAGTAGCCAGGACAATCATTGCCTGGGAGTTCCTAGATCACCTTGAGAAATGACCCATCTCGAACCTAAGGACCTATGTGTATTAACTTGTAAATGAAGTCTTATCAGCTATAGTTTCAACATATGTGAAGCAACCCCCTAGCTCTGGCTCATATGTTTTATGCCAATAATTTCAGTAGTATGAAACATTACATACCTATTGTTATGAACAAAACAGCCTGGCTGGGACACTTTGGCTTAAGCTAAGTATGGATGTTGAAATGTTAATTAGCTAATCGCTCCTGGGAATCACCTACACCCCCACCCAAACTAGGACTAGGATGCAAAATAAGCCAGTGGAATCATGGGAGGGGGTTTTGGGGATGAAAAGTACCCCAAAATGAAAAAGAGGGGCACAGTGGAGGGGGCTGGATGGGTGTGGTGGTTGGGGAAAAGGGAACCCATCCCTAGTCTGTGTTTGACCTGTCACCATAACCTGCAGAGGACCAGATTGGATTGGGCTGTGGGAAGCAGGCACAAGGAGAACAGACACTTTACGTGGTGTTACCAGGAGGGCAGGAGAGGGATAGCTGCTGCTGGATTTTGGCAGCAGGCTCTGCACATCCCCTCCCTATCCTGTGACTACCAGTGTACCAGGAGGAAAGGAAAGAGTACAGTCTGCTGGGACTTCAGATACAGACTGGACACCTCTTCACTTCTGGCTACCAGCGTGCCACGGAGACTCCAGGGACAGACTCTGCACGCCTTCTCACCCTACAGCTACCAGAAGAAGCTACAACAGCCCCCCTGCCGAGCTGACTTTTTAATAAAGAGCTGAACACTAATAAAGGCAAAGACCTTCTTCATTTCACCTATCACCCTGCAGGCACGAATTATCCATATTACACACAATGTATAGATGGTATAACTAGTCTGTGGTGTATGTGCCTTCATGCTTGTCACTTCGCTGCAGCTTCTTCTGGCAGGGGCAGATTGCAAACACTCTTTACAAAGCAGAAATGGCAGCCCCTCTGCTGAAGGATGATCTCCCTGAGCTACGGATTATTTATGGTTTATGGTGTTTTACAAGCTTTGCTTCCAGCTAAGTGGAAGAAGTGGCACACAAGGGATAGGAGGTTAACTCTCAGTGACACACTTAAATGTCTACAGAGCTGTTTCAACATTGTATTCCCAACTTTCTCTGTGGTTTCTGAAGTTCTCCATTTCGTTCAGCCTAGACAACAGAATAAATCAGACAAAGGTTGTGTACTGAAAACAGTGGTTACAAAGGCACATTTTGGGGTCCCAGTCTCTAAAAGTGTTTGGAGCACTGTGCAAGGCAAGTGTACAAAGTCAATGTTAACAACCTGACTGATACCTAAAAGTACTCTTTGTTCTTGTGTGTGGCTTGAAAATCTCTTTTGAAATTTGATGGTACATTTGACCTTTAATAATGACAGTGATTTAATGTTCTACTAGAAGGCCATTATTGAGGTGGAGTGTCCATGTACCCAGAAGAACAGTCTGAGTCCTCGTTACTGAGCAATACTACTATTTTAGGTAAGAAAAGTCGCCTTTAGCAGCTTCCCAGTCTGGTGTTTCTCGATGGATATGCTAATTTCCTAGAGAGCTCTAGGAACACAGCTTTTAAATATTGATGAAAATCAGGAGCTGTACCATCTCTGAAAAGAGATAGGCAAAGATGAAATTGCAACATAAAAATACACATACACGTAGCATCTTAGAACTCCAGGCTGCTCTGGGTCTGTGTGGGGTCAGACAAGCTCACTCCCCATGTTCAGCTGTGAATACTGAGCATGCCAACACATGCCGTGCAATGGCTGCAAGTGAGCTAACACAGGTGGCCCTCCAGCATCTCAAGCCTTCACCCCCACCGCCAGGATGTTGTGATAGGATGAGAGCAACTGATCTGGCTCCCAGGGCAAGGGGTGAAGAATCCCTGAATCCCTCAGACAGTTACAACCAGAACTGTCACCCTGGGGGTAGGTGCCTTTCCTCTAGGCAGCCACACAGACCGATGGCTGGGAGCGGCATCGCTCCTGCCGTGGTTGTTGGAGGAGCAGGAGGCACAGCCGCGCTTCTGTGGCCGCACACACAGCACACTCGCACGTGCTTGCCCCTGCTCCTGTCCCTGTCCTGTCCCGTTCCGCCCGGCCCGGCCCGGCCCGGCCCGGCCGCCGTTTCCGCCCTGCTGGAAGCACCCGGGGCGGAGGAGCTGCTCCCCTGCGCCCCCGCCCACGCTGCCGCCGCCGCCCGGGGCTGGACGCCGAGGCATGAAGAGCCTCCCCTGCGGGCGGCCTGAAGCCAGTTCGGGCCTTCTGCGGCTGCGAGCTGGCCGCCCCATGTGGGCTCCGTCCTCCGCGGCCGCTGCCGCCCGCGCCGGGATGGAGGCGCAGGGCAGCCGCCGGCAGCAGCTCCCCGTCCTGCTGCTCTGGGGTAAGTGGCTGGCGGAGCTGGCCGGGGGCGTCCCGGCAGTGTGCGGTGGGGCTCGCCGCTACCGCTCCGGGGCTGCTGCACCGGGACGGGCTGAGCATCCTCGCGGGTGCGCAGTCTCCGAGGGCAATGCTTCAAGCCGGGACGTGGGGCTGAAGTTCGGGGAAGGTGGGAGCGCCCCTTCTTTGGCTAGAGAATCCCTTTGGGAGGGGGTCTCCGGGCCTCCCTTGCCGGCGGGTCGGGACGCAGCGGGGATCACTTTCCCTCCGGGGCTCTCCATCCCGAGCATAGCGGCGGCTTCGCAGCGAGAGCGTTCCAGCCGCGCCTGGCGGGCAGCGGGGCCGGTGGTCCCCTTCAGCATCGCGCCGACATCTCTGAGAGGAGTCCAGGCCCCGGGGTAAACAATCTCTAACTTCTTGCCTTAGTCAGGATTTCCATCTTGGATCCCACACGGATTCTGGGGAGGTGTGTTTGGCTATTGGGAAAGGTTTTTTCCTGAAGAATGAAGGGCTGATTCCTGTTAGAGTAGTTGAGTTTCAAGCACGTAGCTATCAAGCACAGATATCCTTCAGATCTTTCACTTAGTCTGCCTTGGCTGCTGGAAAAACTATTGTTCCTTGTCAGGTAGATTGCTTAGGGCTCTCATATTTAATGTGTTGCAGTCATCTGAAGTTGCCAGAAATCAGCTCTGATCATCTTCACTCAGCGGTAATCTAAGAGATGTAGTTGATTTCCTGTGAGTCACACTTAAGTAACAAAAATTCAAGCCTGGTACCTTTAGAAGATATATCTGAGGACTTCAGAACTTTGTTATTTTTGACCCCTTTCAAAACTGCTAAACACTACAATATTTCTATGAAAAGACCCACAAACAAATAGACAGTTTCTACAGTGCTCAGTAGCATCATCCTTAGCTGGTCTGTCAACAGAATGACATGCTACATGCACAAATTTCTGATTCTCTGTGGCTTGAGGACTTCTAAAATCTTACCTTAGTTGCTCAGATTTCTGTTATTCCTCAGCTGAAAAGACAACCAACACTTGTCTTGACATGTGAAATATTTATGCAGTCTTGAACTTAGGGAACTAGGCAATAGTCTTTTTGTATGGGGAGGCGATGTTGCTGTGATTTTTGCAAAGTAGAATTATCCACTGGAGATTTGTTTTCAGAGATTTACTAGAGTGAAGGACAGTGTCGCTGTGGCTCAGGAAGCTACAGGACATTTTTCACCAGAGAGGCACAGATAAATCAATTGTGTTAGACATTTTTAACTGTGCCAGTTCTAGTCCTAATTGAATAATGCAGACACAAAAGATTTTAAGAATATCTGTTAACTGATAATACATTACTTTTTCTTGGAATTGGAAAGGGTAGATATAATCAAGAACTAATTAAATGAGACTAGTTTCCTAGTAGAAAAACTTTAGAGTTTTAGGATGTGAACTCAGGTTTTTTTATAAGAAAAGCCTAAATTGGTAGAAAACTAAATTGCTTATTTGGAAATACAAACACAGTTTAAAAAATAGTTATTTTGTAAGAATATTTATTTTAATTGAATGGTCATTCTTAATTTTTTTTTTTTTAATTAAGCACAGAGCTGTGACCTCTGTCATTAAGGTGAAACCACTATTCCTCAGTGCTAAGCTCACTGAAGGCAGTGGGAAGCCCATCTGGGTGGGGTGTGGGACTGTAGTTCTGTAACCACAGGCAACTACTTTCTTTATCTTTCTGCCTAGGAGTTTTGACTCATTATGTCTATGCATAACTGCTTGTTGTGTTGTGCATCCTTAGTGAGATGGACAAAAAGGCAGTGTGTTCACTCAGTGATTGTAGGAGAAGCTGAATTTACAGAGTGTGGAGGGGAAAGAATGCATCAGCCGAGGTACTTGGTACACAGACATGTCATCAGTTCTGTGAAGTGCAATAACATCCAGAATGGGTAAGAGCTGGAAACACCAGCTGTCAGGTGAAATCCTCTGATTTGGCTTAGCAGAGCTGTAGATACTTGTAAGACACCTACTAATGGTGGAATCTAAGCACCTAAGAAATAGCGTTGTATTTACCATCATACCAAATTTTCTTGGTATACTTCTATGTATGGAAACTGAGGTAAGAAGAGGTAAGGGCTTGACCACTTTTAACAAAGTTGTTTTTTTTATACAGGTAATTGTTTTGGAATCCCTGCCCAAATGTTTCTCCTTCATTCCTTATGTAACACCTGCATTTCCATGGTACTATTTGTATTTGAGTAAAAAGATGCTACCAGAGTAAAGCTGGGTATTTTTTAAATTCCAGAGTAATCTTCCTCAATATATTTCTATAAACCTATTTCAAGAGAGATGGTGTGATCCTTATCTGGAGCAGTTCTTGTGTGCAGATTTCAAAGATAGTCAGTTGGTTTTTGCATTTCATAATCTGTTTTCACAGGGGTCAGCCAGGCTTAGTGCTTTGGTCACAGCTGAGCAGCTGGACAGTTGGAAACAGCCTGGTCCCAATTACATTTTTACTTTCTGTTTTGAAGACTATACTTCATCTGCAAACAATAATGAAAAAGCTGAGTATAAAAGTCCAAATTCTGTAAGGTCCTGAGCTGCCCTTATGTGAAACATGGCATATGTAAGTCCTGGAGAGTTTGGATTCCAATGATAAAAAAAAAAAAATCTCCCAGGGGACACTTTTTTTGTGTTTTAGTTTTTGAACCCCATCTCGGGTTTTTTTTTTTTTTCCCATTATTTTCTTATGAATATCATGCTGTTCTGCAGCTGCAAAGGGTGGAACAAAGAAAGGGAATACCATCGTAGGAGTTCTGAATTTAATAGACCAAGGTGAGTGTGTGTGTGTGTAAAACAAATAAACTTTTACAAAACAGACCATTTTATTTTGAGACCGACCACAGAGTTCTAACAAAAACACATCTCTGCCAAAATTATGCTTGATATTGTAAAGATGTGATTTTCCACACTAGAAAAGCAGGAAGACAGGCAGCAGACTCCACCAACATCTATCCTGAAAGCAAAGCATCTGGTGTAAATGCATCCTGTGTTCCAATTTGTTGTTGGATCCAGGCATTCTTCCCACCACCCTTCACCCTGTTTGTGTCTCCTAATTCTTTTATTCAGGAAGGTGTTGCTTCTTTTCCAGCACCTACATGTGCAACAGGGGACAGGTTCACACCAGTTCCCTTGAGAGGGTGAATGGCAGGATTGTCCTTGTGGTGGCAAGTGGACTGCAGGTGGTAGCACAGAGCATCAAATACTATCTTGAGCTGGCTTGGTTCCAGTGCTCAGAAGGAATGGAACTCATTTTTGAAGGTAACTCTGGGCTTTTAAAACCTGATTTACAGCAATGAGATCCAATCCTGGAGACCATTTAGCTAATGTAAACTGTTGCTCCTAAATTAGTAAGAACTTGCTATCTACATCCTCATTAAGACTTTAAATACCCTTGGTGTCTCAGGACTTTGTAGGTTTGTTTTGCTTATGAGGCAAATCATAAGAGTCTATGAAGTGGAGATTGACTTCTACACTGAGACAGACAGGTACTGCTATAGGTGCAGATACACACAAACTGCATGATTTGAAGGAAGGGGTCTTGAATTGAGCTCAAGGGGAGCTATGGGAGGTTTTGTCGGTTGAGTTAAGTGTTGAACCATCAGTAGTTGATTGTATCATTTGTGTTTTAGTTTCTCCCACCTATCTGCTGGTAACTGAGTTGATTCATGGCTTGAATTGCAAACAATGAATCGATTTCCAGTTTGCCTTACCAAGGAAAAAAATGCAATGAGTGGTCCCTTACAAAACACCATTTGCTACCATCTGTGTCTTGGCTATTGAAATTAGTACTTGAGAAACGCATGAAGAAAGCAAACTGTTCTTTCATTTGTGACTCAGAGAGATTAATTTTCACAAGCATAATGAAAACTGTTTTAATTCACACCATTTTAGTTTAGTGAAAGCTGTCACATGAACCATTTTATTTCAGGACAGAATTTTAGAAGTGTATTATTTCATGTTTTATGGAAACAGCCTGTCTTTTCTAAAATAAGAACCTCTTCACAGCCAGGTTTGCATTAAAATAAACTAGAAAATATAAATGGAAAAAATTCACATTATTTTAATGTGAATATATATGTAAAGCAAGCTGAAGTCTGCTTGAAGGACTCTTATGTCTTCTGTGGAAATGTGCAAGTATGAGGGAAGAAAGGAGTAGCAAAGTGGAGTAGGAGAAAGGTACCCTTTCAGAAGTTTTTGATCTCCCTTCATATATTGGTTTCCTTGAAACCAATCTGAAAAGAGGAGACAGCTTTTTTCCTTGCTAGAAGCCTCAAAAGAAAATGCAGTGGCACTGTTAGAAATGGTCCAAAGGGTAGAGAGGATCCCTTGTTATCTTCAGAGCAGCTTAACATGATCTACCATATTGTCTTGGACAAGCGGCATGCCTACATAACAGCCCTTGGCGTCAGTTTGTCTCCAGGAATACAGAATTTTGCCTGTATGGAGACAGAATGATGGCCTTCTGCAGATGGGGTGTCACTATGCTCTGAGCCAGGGGGACTCTTTCCTGAAGAGGAAGATGTGGTAGGCGCTGCTGAGACCCTAGCAGATACCGGGCTGATGAAAGCACATCTTGTTTGCATCTAACCAGATTAACCTGGGTGAGAAAAGAACTGTGCAGAAGCACTGAGCCCTACAATAAAGCATATGTCTTAAGATTTTCATACTCTAATAAATGTGACTAATTTGCCTTTATTTTGCAGAGCATTATCTGTGGGCAGTGTCAGAATAAGTAGTGTAACTAACATTAGCCTTTAATGACTGCCACTTATTGTGTGAAATCGTTTTGTTTCCAAATGTCACAAGTAACAGATCCCTTTTGCATCCTTTTGTGTCCAGAGAGATTCATGCTAGAGACTCTAATTGTTATAAATTTTTTTTGCATTATTGTTGTTCTGTCAAAATACATAGTTTGAGATTTGACAGGGTATGCAGCCTTTTTTCTGGGT